TATATCAGATCCACTTGATTCTCATCCACATTGGTATTCAAAAATTGAGCCTCTTGCTTCTGCTGTTTGAGAAGCATATAAAAGATTATATATTCCAAGTTCAAATGTAGCTGTGGATGAAATGATTGCTCAGTTTAGTGGAAGAAGTATACACACTGTACGTATGAAGTCAAAACCTACTCCTAATGGTTACAAGATTTTATCTTTATGTGATTCAGGATATACATGAATATTTTTTTTTCTTCTCGTGTTGAAAAAGTAACAGACTTACCTAATATTCAAGGTATTAATGAGATAGGTCATCAAGTATGTTACTTAGTATTACAACTTTTATTTACAAGAAATGCCTTTACGATATATATGGATAATTACTTTATATCAATTCCTTTATTTCAATATTTAAGAATTGGTGCATGTGGAATAGTCCGTACTAATTCTGCTATGTTTCCAAAACAATTAAAAGTTCAAAACATAAAATTATTTGAGTGGGGTACTATTTCAGGTGTAATTGTAAATAATGTTCTTACAGTTCTCTGGATTGATAATGGGCCAGTAACAATTCTAAGTACAGTTCATAATATTACTGGAAATAAGTCACAAGTTAAATGTTGGCATCGATGTCCACGAGAAACTAGCTCAAATTCTACAAAAGTCAGAGCAATTTTTGGTAACTCTTCACGAACTCAACTATTAATTCCAAAAATTATTAACGATTATAATCAACATATGGGAAGTGTTGATATTGCTGATCAACAACATTCATATTATATTTCCCAGCTTAAAGCACATCGAAACTGGTTTCTATTATTTTTTTGGCTGCTTGACACATCTATTGTTAATGCTCGTATGATTTACTCTAGTCTTAATTATTTACCTCAAGATTCATTAAATAGTAGAGAATTTTGTACTCATCTTTTCTGGAAACTTATAGAGGATGCGACAAGTCAAATGTCTAATACAAGAAATTCTCAATTTTCAATTACAAATCCTTCTATATCAAATACTAGCATTGCTTATGTTGGTAAAAATTTTATACTTCCAATATGTCGAAAATTACCTGGTAACCATTTTTTGGAATGGAAAGATAAACGAGAATCATGTATTTGGTGTTGATATCTTGCAAGAGAAAAAAAAAAAGAAATTGATAATAAAAACCCTCCACAAACAAATGTTTGGTGCCGTGAGTACAATGTTCCTCTGTGTTGCAATAAAACAAGACCGTATTGTAATTATGAGTTTCATACTTACAATGAAGAATAATATTTTATTAAAATTCTTTTCGTAACACATGCTTAAATTTATGTAATTGCTAATTGATAATTGCTTAATTATGTATTCTTTGTAGAAAATAGCATTATTTTATAATTGCTTTATTTCCAAATTTATAATGTATCATCTATTAACTAAATACTACTGTAAGTAATTGAAGGAAACCAGAAATTGATCAAAAATATTGTGCCTTAGAAAAAGAAAGCGTATTGTTAATAATATTTAATCCAATCGTTAGAAAGTAAGAAATAGCATATTTCGATAAGTAATTAACATAAATTTTTAAGGTTAGCACAGTTTAGGGTTATCCTGATTTAAAATAGTAATTTCTATATGTATCTAAATGCTGCGTTCAAAATTTGATATCTGACTAAATACTGAAATAACACAACTATGATTTGATGATGTAATTAATATTTGTAAAATTCGTGGAGTTAAAAATATGCAATCATTGGATAATTTTTTGCAGGCAAATTTGCCTGGATCAGTAAATCGTTAAAGGGATAAAGTTTTATCAGTAGCTAGTTTATATTTTTATCAGGTTTTGTCAAGAGTATTGTCGGCATCACTAGCCCATATCATTTCATCAACAACCACTTCACCGATATTCCATCACACAGGGTGACGATCAATGTTTAATGATTATTAAACATTAATCACCACCCTAAGTGATGGGGTGATTGTCAGGAAAAATGATATAGTGTTACGACCAAGGGAGAGACTTATATAGATTCGGCCAATTTAGCAAAGGGTCGTAATCATTAACAGAAATGAACTGAGTATTTTTATTAACACACAAAGGCACCAGAAAGAATCAAACAAATATGTCTTTAAAGTGTCCCAGGTACTATCAATACTAATATCTTTATTCTTCTATGACTTAGCAAGTTCCAAACTTACTATCCGTCAACTCAAGTTACTAAACTACTCAACGAAAAACTAAAGAAAAACTATCTCTCTAAAATCTAAAGACTCTAAACTAAAATACATATAACTCTATATATATACATGAATAAGCTTTAAAATAACCTATAGTCTAATTAAAGATATGCTGTATACTTCGCATAAGCTATTAAAATGTTACACAAAGTATATTTAAAAGTATAAGCAAAGTATCTAATAGTATAACAGTTACACAAAGAAAGTTTAAGTGTGAAACTTTCTTTGCATAACATTTTCCTCTGCTTGAAGGATGAGCTCTGCTCGAATCCTGATATCCACAAAAACTTCTGATTAGATCATGTGCTTCTTATTCGTTCGAAATCGTCGAGATCGATTCTTCTCAATATATTTTTGACACGTCTTTCGTTAAATTGTTCACATCGATTACCGTCTCGGGTTTGTAGACCTTGATTCCTGGTTATCGCAATTCATTTCGTAAATTCGAAGTTTTATATAGGTTCTATATTTGTAGTTCTTTAGGTGCTATAGGTGCCCCATTTCCTGCACCTACATCGTCGTAGCCATCCTATCTTCACTACGTCCGTTTGGCTTTTCTGATCAATTAATTGTACCTTTGTTCAAGTATTTCAACTCCTTTTTCTTTCTCTCTTTTTTTTTTTTTTTTTATTTTCTAATTTTCCAAGCATGTTCGTATATCTATGTGATTCGATTCAAATTGATTGCCTTAATTGAAAGTGTTAATTGTATCTCAGCAGTTAAGTGATTCAAATTTTAATTTGCATTGTCAGATGTAACCTGATAATGCGAATTGTACTAATAATAATATTTTTTTTTTTTTTTTTTTTCTTTTTTTCATTTTTTTAATTTATTTCATTTCCTTCTTTTGTTTTCTTT